ACACAGCTTCCAACACCTGCAATTGCTTGAAGAAACGTGCGCAACGAATAACACTAAACCAGGAATCGTCAAACACCTTACGACATTCTGGACTGGACACCAAATGCTTGTACACTGCAGACTTCCTCTTGTGACGGCGTTCCACTGATGACAGTCACAAGAAAACATTATGGAACTTGACTTTCTTCATTTTTGCTGTTGTTATGAGTGCACAATTTATCTTATTTATTGCCATTTTACGACTATTGTCTCCTCGTCGACTGTTTAAATGCATAGGTTCTTATACAAAATTTTAAAAAGTATATGTTTCACAAGTGTGTCTGTGCTCGCTGCTGCATGCAGTACTAGCCAATGTTACTACTTGCGCCATTGTTGCTCAATGGGTAGATATATTGCATGGCAGAGTTTAAATTGTTTTCTGCAATTCTATTTCAATATAGATTGTGGTGCATGGATTGGGATTAAGGTTTTGTTTGTTTTCTTGGAAACAACCATACCTGGTGGTCCATTGCTGACCAGGGATGATGCCAGCTGTTTTCTGTTGAAAATCAGCTGGGGCGGCAGATGGTTTCCCATCGCGTTCACGCATATGTTGGCCGTTATATGGTCATTCGACTTGCTGTGCTGTTGGTGAACTCTCGCTGTGGAGCGGCTTGCCACTACTCTTCTGGGCTTTGGGTCTGGAGTGAAGCCCTTTTCATCCACATTCCAAATTTGTTGAGCCGTGAGATTGTGGTCTTTGATTTCCTTTTCCAGCATTTCGTAGAATGTATTAATTGTGTGCGGGTTGGCGTTCTTAGCTCTTGAAGCTTCCAACGATGTTGGATTTCGGACCACTATTTCAGGGTTTCTTCTCTTAAAACCGCGCCACCAGCCTCTCCCTAGCTGGGGGCATCTCTCGCCAGTCTCTCTCCTGACAACTTCAGCTGCAAGTGCCTGCACTGTAGCTGGAGGAAAAGGATGTGTGCATAGCACGAATAATTTTAATCATTCAATTAAAAAATAGAATTGCTGCATCATGTCTACCTAATTAGCTAAGTCCTTTGTCCCACTGTGCAAGATTCGGACATTTTTTCCATCTACCTTGTATTTCTGTGTGTGTGTGTGTGGGGGGGGGGGGGGGGGGGGATAGTAGAGATGTCTCTTTCACATGCACACACGCTGCACAATATCGTCCAGTCACATATTTTTAATCCTGCTATTATGTGTGATGGATACAGACTGCGTTTTGGGTGGATGTTCTAAGGCTCGGCTACTTGTGATTTCACTATGACATTGTGTGCATACCTATTGGTAGATCTACGAATCAACTCACACACGAAAGTGCATGCATAAGCGCTGAGGGGTAGCGTGCACGTGTGCGACTCAACGTCGTTGAGTGAGACACGTTCAATGGTCCATAAAGAATTCAAATCTGAATTTTCAAAAAAACAGCGGGAAATGGTGCAACGGGCGCGGTGGTATGACAGGTCGATGCTTACCTCGATTTATCCCGAAGCCTCTTGCGGCCATTCCCTTGGCGTAATCAGCGAGTAATTTTTCAAGTTGCTTGCTAAGGACTGGTGCACGGCCCCTCTCCTTCCTTCCCCCATGCACCCTGCGAAACAGTGAGGTCCGTGGTACATCGAATGTCTTGGAAGCCTTCCGAATGGAAGACGAACCGTCCTTGACAGCTGCTAATGCTTCGTCCATGACAGCGATCAGAGTGTGAGAGCTCTGTGTACTTTGTATGGTGCTTTTGTTTATCTGGCTCTTCTTGTGTGCTTAGTAGCAGCTGCTTCTTGACCTCTAGCCGACCCGGGAAAGAAAAAGAACATCCTGCCATTAGTTTTGGTCCACCTTTTGAACTCGGCTCCAGACATAGCAGGATGCACTTGAAATTTCGCGCCATGAAATTTTTGGATTTAGTTCCGTGACATTAGGTAGCATTTTCGTGCTTTGTATGTCTCTGAAGTGGCCAGTTAGTGATTATTAGTTGTCACCATCCTTCTCCTAGGCATTATATTGCTTGGTGGATGGGTCTAGCCGTACCACCCTGCTCTCCCGGGGAGGTTTCTGTCGCTGAGTAACTCAGATCGTACATGAAAAATCACCCACGAAATGTCGATCGAAATTTTTCCTCGTTTCCGTTCTTGGCCGAGATTGAAATTTGGACAGGTCACTTGGGACAATTGTAAGAGTATACTAGTAACATTTGAAGAGGCTACGATGATTACTCGAAGAGAATTTGAGGGCGTTCCGGTTTGCAACCTATGTCCGATTTGAAACCGTCCCCTCTACAATACACTGTACATCCCAAACCTGCAAACTAGGCACGGCACAGACAGGTTGAGAAAAGCAGCCCGGGGGGGGGGGGGGGGGGGGGGGGGCTGTTGACGTAGCGTGGCGGAATGTACAGATGCGAGCAGCTAAACGTGTTTGACAGAAATGGTTTACTACATGGCCTAACACATGTTGTGATTACCGCAAGGTAGCTCAGAAATTAGGCTTAGAAGCAGGGAGCAGTAAGTAAATAACTGGTATTTTACTACTCCTTGCTTAGAAGTGGTCATTCACTGCATAAAGGGAAAGTGCTGGAACATGTTGAAGCCAGCTTTGCTACCCGAGATAAATGGACAGCTGGTCTGCCATTGCCTTGGCCTAGCATCACAGAAATGAACCAATGAATATCACAGAAATGCTTGCACTCACTTACCATCAGCATGCTTCTGGCTCTGGCGATGAACTGCCAACATCTCCAGGGTGTCAAACGTTGGCCTCCATGAGCACACCAGGCATGCAAACCTGCAACGGCGAACAGATACAGTGAACAACATACATGTTGGATAGGTATCGCATGATTTTTGTGCCGAGTTGTTTCCTTGCCTCCTGCGTGCATGTTGCTGTTGTTGACTTTTATTTTACTTCACCAATTGCACAGGCATTGTGAGAAGACAGCAATGCCTGTGCAATCGGTGAAGTAAAATAAAAGTCAACAACAATATACTGGTATACACGCATGAGGCAAGGAAATAACTCGGCACATAACCATGCGATACCTATCCAGCACCTATAATGTACATGTAGAAACACTATCCACTACAAGCCAGTAGGGAAACAACACAATAAATATACTCGGATGGTGAGCCAATTAAATTATGGTGAAAAAAGAAGAAGGACAAAGTGTGCAGGTCGCCGAATGTCTCAGTGCTCCTTGTCAGTTTTGCGCCATTTTGTCGCACTCGCTGACTGTATAAGATCTGGTTACGTTGGTGGACAGTTAGTCAAAACTCGTAACATTTTGCCCTTCTTCTTTTCTCACTACAATAAATATAACACAAGCTACATGTACGTTGCCAACTACTCGCGAAAGTGCTCTATACAGCGAGGCCAGAACCAAACGACACAAGTCAGCAATGGAACGAGGCTATCCTTTTGCTGTAACTCTTCATTGCTCTTGAGCGTGTGGAATCAACTAGAGCCGTCTGTAGAGCTCCTATACTCCAGTATGTTACATCCCAGGTGCTTTTAACCGGAGTTTAAATGTACTCGAAGGCCACCAAGATGGAAACTGTTTCCCGGGCGCAATGCAAAGCTCACCTGCCATTCTTCATAAGCAGTGCTTCGTCATCCGGTACACTCTCGAGCAGCAGGTCGCATCTCCGCCGTTTCTGGTTTCCAGGACAGGGAAAGTATGCGATTGGACAAAGCGAGAAAGAATGAGTCACCAAACAACACATTAGTGTAATTTCACAAATTTCCGGTGTACTTTTATTTTCGGTACTTTCGGTGCGTCTGTTTCATACCTAAAATTTCAATACACCGAACAACTATTAACACACATAATCGGCAATAGGGAACTGATTCTCTGTACCTAAAATTTCTGTTCACCTAACCTGGCCTTTTGCCCTCATACCGAAAATACTGAGCACCTAAAATTTCTGAAATTAGAGTATACCAAGAGTAGATAAACAAGAGTGTGCAATTCCCGGATGGGTTGGCCCATGGCGGAATTTTTTGTTGACGCGATCCTTTCTACGATGCACGCGCTGCGAGTCTTTTGGGAAGTTTTGCCTCTTGCACTGGGCCGGGCTTTACATTACAAGGTTGGTGCCCAGCACGTGCTCTTCCACTGCTCTGCGGAAAATTGCGCCGTTTTCTGAAAAAGGTGACGTCAACAAAATTTCTGCCGTGGGCCGGGGTATCTGCAGATTGTGCAGAAGAGATGCGGAGTTGCACACTCTTGTTTAGCTACTCTTGATTGTACCAAGCGTGAAACCTGTACTGCCCGGAGTGTGAAGCAAACAAGAAAGATGACTATCACGTGTCACTCACACAATCTGCAGTTCTTAGGTAAAATTTACCTAAAAACGTAAGTTTAGGGTCCTTCAACTCAAAAACAATGACTGTGTAAAATGCCTGCAATGTTGTCTGCGAGTACTTAGAAAAACGAAACTATTCAATTCAAAGTGTGCCCGTGATCTAATGGCCAGTACACTACAATTGATCGAAGAACATGATTGTACAGTACGCAAACTGATATTGGTATAAATACTAGTTTCAGTGACCTACCTACCTGAGTCTGTTTGATCTGAGAAAATTGATCGCCAACCAGTTTGAAAGACATGACCGGTGATACGAGCAGGGGTGCACAACATTTGTTGTAGGCAGGAAAGATGGGAATCCACGATTGCTTTTTAATGAAGGAGATAGGTATCTAGACTCGAGATAAGCACTGCACCTAAATACTGCAGATTTCAGCACAGCCAATCTTTCATTATTATTTTCAAAACTTTTGCATCCAGGTACTAGGTACGTACGTACGTATGACGCGCGCATGACGAAATGTGCCGTTGCCTTGTCAACGGCGGGTGTGTGGAAGGAACGCTCGCAGCTAGCTCGACTCGTAGTCGTAAACCACGACTCCCTGAACACAATCATGTCGTAAACCAATAATGCAATATTCAATAACACCATGAATGTTGTAGTCATACAAACTCATCATTATTTTGAGGCGGCAACTCCAATAAATGTCATTGAGTCTCGTTCAAGCACACAAGGCCAAGGAGTCACTTAGCCAGATTTAGGTAGTCAGTAGTATAGTGAGTAGTGTAGTTCTCTTTCAGCGACTGCTCGAGGTTGCCAGCTTTTATGTTGTGCCCCTTCGACTTGAAGACGGAGAGTTTCTTCACTCCGCTTTTACATTCACTGAGTCAGGGTGGTGGATAGTGCACTGGTATAGTGTGCGGCCAACGGGATCCTCGAACCAGCGAGTGCACTGCCTGAATCCAGTGAGGGCATGCAGTAGTCATCTTCGTGGTAGCGAGAGAGTTTGCCAGCAAGCCTAGTAGTGAAAGTCACCTGTACTGTAGCGATCCTAGCGTGGCAGAATTATCATTAGAGTCGTCGTAGGATCACTTGTATTGGCGGCACACTGCAAGCTTCAAGATCAATAACAAGCCGCCTGTTACCAGATTGAGATTGCAGCTTCGAATCGGATCGCGGTGACAGCTGAGCTGGGCTGGAAAGTCGCCAGCTGGGAGAAAATTTGACGAGCGTCTCAGCACATTGACAACTTCTGGCACAAACAGCAGAGACACCGTGGACGATCTGAAGGTTAGCAATTCACCTAAAACACTTCCTGCCATTACCTGTCTCGACATACATGTACATGTACTTGCCAACGTTGCAACCTTTGCGAACCTGAGATCGGGACAATGACATACATGCACATGTACATGTACCGTAAAGTCGCGGATAAAAGCCGGGTTTGCATACAAGCACATCGCGGATAGAAGCCTGGAAATCGAACGGGTCAATGCATATAAGCCTGTCGCGCGTAGAAGCCTGGCTTCTATGCAAGCGCGGATTGGGTAGGTCAAGAGTGCATGCGCTGTGTACAGTGCATAGTAAAACTGCCGCCATACCGGTAGTCAGTGGTAAATCTACGCGTGTCGCGCGTAGAAGCCTGGCTTCTATGCAAGCCCGGATCGGCCGATGTGCATACAAGCCTGGCAAAAATATCAGTGGTGCATATAAGCATGGTTTGCATACAAGCCTGATGCAGGAAGCGGCTTATGTGCTTATAAGCCCGGCTTTTATCCACGACTTTACGGTAGGTATGAAACAGTTCTGTCCGCAGATTGAGTAGGTATGAACATATACATGTACATGTACATATACATGTTATTATTATTATTATTATTAAATTTTTGATAGGGCAATCCCCACAGGCCTAAGGCCTTTTGACAGGGTACCCTAAAACATGAAGAACAGAATTACGGAAGGTATGCAAGGAAGAACTTACTTGAGCGGACCTCCGCTGGGAGGGCATTCCAGCGGTCAGAGCCAAGGAAAGTGACAGAAAATAAACCATAGCGACGTTTGGCTGTCGGAAGAGCAAGGGAAGAGGACACTTGAGAGCAGGTGCGAGAACTAGTGCAGGTAGAATTAGAGCGTACATGTACATGTATACATGTACATGTACATGTATACATGTACATGTACAGAATGTACATGTACATGTACATGTATACATGTACACCGTGTACATTGTAGCTGTGAGTGTGAGGCTTGCGACTAGGCCTTTCCCAAATCGGCCGGCCGAAAAATTCGCAGAAAGTAGCCTTTTCAGAAAATCGCCGATCTTTTGGCCGAATTCTGAGATTTTACCAAGAAATTGCCGAATATACATGTTTTGCAGGGTCGTGGGTAACTGGGCATGACCGCTCGTGCGCGCCTGCGTCACGGCCCGTGGGCATTTCCCAAATCGGCCGGCCGAAACATTGGCCGAAAATAGTGGTTTTGAAGAAATCACCGATCTTTGAGCCGAATACGCAATTTTCGCACTGAATTCGCCGAAAATTGATGTTCTAGTGCCTCAATAGCATGCAAATACAATTTCTGTAGCCATTATCTGCGAAAGGTGGCTGTGACTTTAGAGCCGAATTTCCACAGAAATTTTCAGCCGATTCTGGCGATTTTTTCAGCTGATCGAAAAGCCGAATAGGCCAAAATAAATGGCCGATTTGGGAAAGGCCTACTTGCGACAAATGCACTTTTGGGTGCCTGCAGTGTATTACCACCCTCGATATCGGGACTGTCCCAGCCAAACCGGGACGGTTGGCAGGTACAGGTGCATGTGTCCAATGCCCCGGCAGACCTATTCAAGTAGGGGTACCAGGCGAGTACAGTCAACTTCGCTAATAACGACTGCGGATATAACGACAATTCGCGAATAACGACAGAATTTCCATGCCCAGAGCAAAGTCCCATCCCACTGTAATACATGTACATATAATGAGACTTCGGGTATAACGACACTTCGCGAATAAGGATACCGTTTTGACGCCCCGCCGAGTGTCGTTATAAGCGAAGTTGACTGTAGCTCGTATAGTCAGCGTCAGGGAGTCGTAAAAGCCCGGGAGAGGACACGGGATGCGCGCACGCGGACGATGTTTGCCTCGGCCAGAAAGTGAAGCACGCTAGGCCGGCGCGGCCGGATCTGCTCGATCCACGGCGCTGTGCTCGTCTTCAGGGCAGGAGTCCTAAAATACCAATATTTTACAACTCGTTGTTGACACCATTATCCGAAACTGGTGGCGAAGGAAGGATAAACATGATTGTATGTCTGTCAGACTCAGTACACATGGTACAGGGGTGGGGAGTGGAGTGTGTGTGCGTGGGGGGGGGGGGGGGGGGAGGCGTGTGTATGTGCACATGTGCTTGTACTTTTGTGTGTGTTTGTACAGTGTTTGTGTGTGTGCGCGCGCACGTGCGTGTGCATTTTTGTGCACAACTCCGTTATGAAGTACAAATGATAGGTTTACCTTTTGTACACTCGCCAAGACTTCCGTTTCCTAAACGGCTCAAGTCACCGCGTACTCAGTATACGAGTAGAAAAGTGTTGAAATTATCAAGATTTATAAATAACGACCTGCAACCATGTACAATGTAGATAGATAGTGAACACACATTGATTGTTTTTAAAAGAATCCAGGCATTATCATGAATCATGGAACGAGTGCGTAATAATGCTCTATGTTGCGTTTTGACGATGCTGAAGGAAGGGAGCCGTTGCGATTCACTCACAACACACGCACAGAAGTCCACTCGACTGCAATTTCAGTGCAATTTCTGACACAAATTCATAAATCCACGAGTACGCCGAGGAAGCTCAGCTCATCTCCACAAGAACTTTCGCCCATCACCTGCAATGGAATATGGGCTGTATGATACGACCAGCGGCTAACACGGGAAGTGGCGTCATTTTCCACAAATCTCGTTTCATTCACAACCATTTGACTGCAATTCAGTGCAATTTCTGCCACAAATTCAACTCCACGAGTACGAGGAAGCTCGGCGGATCTCAACACGAACGTTCGCCCATCACCTGCAATGGAATATGGGCTGTATGATACGACCAGTGGCTAACACGGGAAGTGGCGTCATTTTCCACAAATCTCGTTTCATTCACAACCATTTGACTGCAATTCAGTGCAATTTCTGCCACAAATTCAACTCCACGAGTACGAGGAAGCTCAGCGGATCTCAACACGAACGTTCGCCCATCACCTGCAATGGAATATGAGCTGTATGATACGACCAGCAGCTAACACGGGAAGTGGCGTCATTTTCCACAAATCTCATTTCGTTCACCCCAACTCAAATAAAAGTGAAGTACAATTAGGGATTTATCTTGCATTTCCATCACCTCAGAATAAATTAACCTCGATAAACTGAGAGAGAATGAGTGAGGCAGCTGGAAGAATTGAGGATGAAAATAGAGATCAGAAGACTCGACGGAGCAATCGTCTCCGTGCTCTAAGAGAAATCGGAGAATGTCCCAATTAGTATTTCAAGAAGACATCACAATTTTCGAAAATAATAATTTCCTTTCCTCGCAACACCGTTCCCTGGCAGCGTTCCCTGGCAGCGTTCCCCGGCAGCGCGAGGCAAAGATGTTTTCTGGGAATGTGTGCCGTGTCCTCTCCCGGGCTTTTACGACTCCCTGGTCAGCGTTGTCCAGTCACCACAAATGCAAATGGCTGTCATACATGTACAATGTACACATGACATGTGTACATTGTACATGTATGACAGCCATTTGCATTTGTATGTACTACACAGTGAATTACAGTAGGTAAAAATGGCGAGTATGAAGTACATGTACATGTACTGTACATGTACATGTACATGTACATGGTCACCACACCACGGATAAGCTCTAGTACAGGGTCACCACACCACGGATGTGCGAGCTACGCCCCAGCGTACACTGGCCCCACACATTGCACCGGTTCCGGTGGGTAGCCCTTTCCCAAAGGTGCTCTTTTAATTCGCACTTAGTGCTTTTCGCCGTCCCTCAAAATATGCTGAAAAAGTGCTCTTTTTTCAGTGAAAACAGGAAAAAAGTGCTCTTTTCAGTCAGTGAAGCATAGCCATGATACATGTTCAGATATGAACCCAAGCTGAGAAATGAATACGCACTCTTCCATTTATGGGTCCACGAAAGGCAAAACAGGAAGTAAAGTTCAAAAAACCCACTTTTACAGCATTGTGTACAAGCTTCACCAACTTGTTGCCCCCCAAAAAGCCGGGTGCCAACTGACAAGGCCCATCGAGCACTCGGAAACTGTGATCGCATGCATGAGCAAACAGATTTTAGCACTTTTTCAGCTAAAAAAGCTCAAAAAGGGCGAAAACGCAATAAAGGGCAAAAGAAACGGGCTTTCCAAAAGGGCCAAAGGGCGAAAAAAAGGGCGAGCACCTTTGGGAAAGGGCTACCGGTGGGCCTGCATCATAATGTGTGATGCTGTTCCTGTGCACACGACACAATCTACAGTAATGCTGTACACATTTTCTAGCATTACCGGTGTGCAACGAACAACATTGACAGCCAGCATCGTAGTCAAACATATCTGGCAGATCTGGAATTCTGTTTCCGTTCTTCTTTATTGTTATGAATGTAAAGCCGATGACAATGAATGGGTCAAGGCGACACTCACTTCGGTCCGCCAGTGGTTCAAGTGTTCACATGCCCGATATGGATTGTAAGTACTTCCAAGTTAAGAGCTGTTGCACATCCCATTTTTCAATGCCCAGTTGCAACGCTGACGCCAAGACCTCTAGTCGGTTGAGTTGCTCCCAGCACATCGGCACGTCGTCCCTACATCCCTGTGTCTTGTTCTTTCTTTCTTCGTTCTCCACATGTTTTCCAGTTGGGCTGTGTTAAGTAAAATAAAAAATAAAAATGAAGAACATTTATCACATGACCATACAGGGTAGCCATGTTGGCTCCAACTTCATACAACCCTTGCATCTATGGGTCATATGATGTCGGCCATGTTGGTTCCACTGTCCCGTGAAATGCCGTGATCACTCTCTACGCAAATTTAGTCACATGACACAGATGTGAAACCGCTCTATCAGGAGAAATGTGCCAGACAAGTCACCAGTCATCTATTATGTGTGTTGCATGCTGTGTGCTGGCTAATCAGACTCTGCACCCACATATGCAGAAAGTACATGATTTTGAGTCTCTTTTTTTTACTCCTAGATAATAATGATACACATTGTAATAGGAATACAGGATGCTAGCTGAGTTTCTAAAATGAGACGATGTTTCATTGCTGTTTGCAGATCCAGTTGAGATACATCCCCGTGCTGGACCGCAGCCTCACCATCGCACTGGCTCGGCACAGGCAAGGCGGAGCTCGACGCAAGCCTACGTGAAGTCGCTGCATGACTCACCATACCTCGCAAGTATGTTGATGTAATTTGAAAAGAAAATGTAAAGGTCGCACATCCGCGTTACCTCTGGCTATACAAGTGTGTTTAGAAACCCAACCAGCTTGGGAGTTTTGCTCGGGAACGTTTGCACATCCGCATCACAGCTGGCAGGCTATTAAACAAAATGTGCTTAGAAACACAACCAGCTTACACTGAGTCCATTCATTGAAAACTGGCAGCCTAACTTTTCGGTGTCTCCCGCATGTACACAGTACATCCAGTATTTACTGTATACTGGACGTTGATAAACGCTTAGTAATGCTCTCCACCAGAGCAAGTTGATCCGCGTTATCTTCAAGAAGAGTATCCTGAGCCGTTCTGCTACGTTTCTGTGTGTTCCCTGCCATATGACCGATGGTGTCCAGAGACTGGTCCGCTGAGAGCTACACACAACGGCCAGGCCACACGGAAGAGACCGCCTAGACCGAGCGACGCTCCGGCACAAGTAAGTCTGATCTTGCTAGCAAGGCACACGCAATTAGCATTAATCACCGTATTTTCCGGAGTATAAGCCGCACCCCCCTCCATTTTTTGAAACGAAAAAAAAACATTTACCATATTTATCACCGCGGCGTTGATTTGACCATCGGAGTATAGGCCGCAACCCCCTTTTTGGGGTGAATTCTGAGTGCTCAAAGTGCGACTTGTACTTCAGAGATACGGTTTGCTGCTTTTGCTGCTGATCCGGTAAGAGTCTCAACCCAAGCGGACCAGTACCGCATAAGAGGAGGACCAAAAGCTGAGTTTTCCTAGTTCCAGGGTAGGGCCAGCATCACTGGTTGGACGGGTATGGCCACCGTTTTTTCTTTTCTTTTCTTTGAGTGCCCACGGGCTCCGATGTGGTTAGAGTTGAGGAGCAAAAGGGTGATCCGGCTTGAAAAAGGGCTCATTGCTCATGGACTGCCTAGCAGTGCGCAAGTAACTCTGTGGAAGTTCTAACAGGCTATCCTCGCACACACCTCACTACAGTATATTCCTCATAGACCGCTCTTCTTGTGCCGCAGTGGGGACTATTATGCTAGCTGCATGCGTTGCCAGTGGAGGGCGTTGCTGAACAAAAAGATACGCATGCATGATGATCTGGATCTGGAGATGTGTCCATCTAGATGTACTACACTGGCATTAGGCCGAGATAGGGTCATGATCGGTCACGTAGCCCAGACCGGGGGCTGTACCACCCGTCAAAACCTGGCTCCAGACCTGCATCATGTGGCAGTGCCTGTGAATGATGATGATGATGATAATAGAGGCGGGAAGTGAAGCCGGGTTGTAAATCTAGGAATTGCATGATTGCCAGGTCGGTGTCCATCTTGGAGCACCGAATATTCCCGGCAGTGTGAATACCAGCTCAGCCATGTCCACCGCAGCATGGGCATGGCACCCAGGGAGTGCCGGCAGCTGGTAAACTGGAAACAGAGATCATTCGTCTCAGGGGCAGGGGCAAGGGGGCGGTATGCACAGGGCTGGGCTGCGTTCAATGTGAAACTACTGTCAGAAAGCCGGAGTGCCGGGCCAACGTGGCTTGGTCAGCCAGCCAGCACTGAGTGATTGATCTGAGATAGTTGGCATCACCAGACTGTACATCATTTACAATAGCCGATGTTGTTGTCGAAAACGCATTGGTATTAAACTGAGTGAATTTCCTAATAGGGATACGAGCTATGGATACAGATCGTGGATGGTTGGAGCTTACCGAGCTCTCATTCCTATCTTTTTCTAAATGGCCACACATTCTTTTCTTATTATCTGCAAACTCCAACACAGCCAATTACACATGTATGAAACTGCTCTCCGGCCTCAACTCCAATACCGGCCTGTACACTGAGATAAATGCCAACATTTCTGGCCCGGCCCATTATCTCAGAGTAAATGCACAGCCATACATTCGTCGGCGCGCATGCGTGTGTGTGTGTGTGTGTCAGGTTGCGGGGTCGATTCCCGACGATTATGATCACACACGTCTTTCTTCTTTTTCTCAGACTCCTCCTGACTTTTCTTTCATTCTCCTGGGTGGTTACCAACAACCAGTGCATGCCGGAGTATGTGGTGTGATGTGTGTGCGGAAAAAAAAGAAAAAAGACCAAAAAGTAGCCACTGGCCAGAAAAAGCCACTTCATAGCTGTGTGGTGTAGACCAGGCTGAATAGTGGCGGTCAATTCTTCAGCCTTGCAAGCTGTTGAATGGTGCAATCCCAGCACAAGCTGCTATGGCTTCTGCCGTAGCATCGATATCATCGCCTCCGGCGATGGGCGTCCAATGGTCCAATGGTGTGTGTGTGTGTGCGTGTGTATATGTTCCTAGGCCAGGCACCATGACTGTGCAACTGACCTTTGTTGTCCACAATGACGTGAAGCTGCCTGATACGACCATTTTGGACCGATTCAACTACACCCCACCTATCATTCTGCCCCCCCCCCCCCCCCCCCCCCGGAACAGTATGATCCCATCTGCCATGGTTGGGCTGTGGGCATGAGCCTAGAAAGTTGAAATACCGGTATACTGGCTTGCTCTGTTCAAGTTGAAAGCATTTGCAGCATTTGGATTACTAGTAGATGTGGGACAACCCGTGACTAGACCGAGTACATCAGCGACTCCATGGCTGTCACTAGAATACCGTAAAGTCTTGTATAAAAGCCGCACTTGAATAGAAGCCGCAATTTTGGGCCCATCAAATCACATATAAGCCTGGTTTTAGTGTTGACATACATAAAAATACCTGTCTCATAAAAAAGCCTGCAAAATTTCACCAAGAAAGTCACAGAAGCCGCGGCTTTTATACAAGACTTTAAAGTAATTGCTGTCACAGGCGGCCGGCCCGGGCTCACACTCACTCGTGCTCACACAGCCAGTACATGCACTAGTACTGTACTGTCGGGCGCCAAAGAACGGGGGGGGGGGGGGGGTCAGGGTTCTAGCCTAGCCCGTTCTTATTTTTAGCGAACACTGCAGTTTCGTTCCTATTTGATGGCACAGCCTTACATGTACATTTATGCAGAGTTATACGTCTGAGTGTACATTATAGTGTACATTACGGTTTCCGTTCTTATCTGCAAAAAATCCAGCCTAGACCGTTCTTGAAAATTAGTGAAATTCTAGCCTGGTCGTTCTTCGGCTGTCTGTTCTTCGGCTGTCTGTTCTTCGGCTGTCTGCTCTTCGGCTGTCTGCTCTTCGGCTGTCTGCTCTTCGGCTGTCTGCTCTTCGGCTGTCTGCTCTTCGGCTGTCTGCTCTTCGGCTGTCTGTTCTTCGGCTGTCTGTTCTTAGGCTGTCTGTTCTTCGGCTGTCTGTTCTTCGGCTGTCTGCTCTTCGGCTGTCTGCTCTTCGGCTGTCTGGTTTTCGGCTGTCTGTTCTTCGGCTGTCTGTTCTTCGGCTGTCTGCTCTTCGGCTGTCTGCTCTTCGGCTGTCTGCTCTTCGGCTGTCTGCTCTTCGGCTGTCTGCTCTTCGGCTGTCTGCTCTTCGGCTGTCTGCTCTTCGGCTGTCTGCTCTTCGGCTGTCTGCTCTTCGGCTGTCTGCTCTTCGGCTGTCTGCTCTTCGGCTGTCTGCTCTTCGGCTGTCTGCTCTTCGGCTGTCTGCTCTTCGGCTGTCTGCTCTTCGGCTGTCTGCTCTTCGGCTGTCTGCTCTTCGGCTGTCTGCTCTTCGGCTGTCTGCTCTTCGGCTGTCTGCTCTTCGGCTGTCTGCTCTTCGGCTGTCTGCTCTTCGGCTGTCTGCTCTTCGGCTGTCTGTTCTTCGGTGCCTGACAGTACTGTACTTCACGGGCCGTGGTAGGGCCAGCACCTGCAGAGGACAGTCCCGATGCCAGCGGAGCGAATCACCTGTTCATACGGTCCGATCGATCAGTGATTCGACGGTACTCACTGAGACAGGGACAGTCTACTAGTGCCATTGTACAACCAGCGAGTAACAAACATGCTACAAACTGTACCGTTGAACGTGTGCCCGGAAATGCTACAACCGGGATTGCCCTTTGGACTGAGCGTGCAGCCTGGTCCATGTTTCTTCGGTAGCTCCGAGTCGTTAGACAGTGCCGCAGTGAGAAACTTTCGGTGATGGCCACTTCAGTAATAATAATTATTAGTAATACACTTTTAAAAGCGTCTCGGCTTATCCGGATGTCTCACAAAACAAAACACTACAGTAAAACCTGATGTAAGCGATCTCTGGGTTTAGCGACCACCTGCTCTTAACGACCTCTGGGTTTAGCGACCACCTGCTCTTAACGACCTCTGGGTTTAGCGACCACCTGCTCTTAACGACCTCTGGGTTTAGCGACCACCTGCTCTCAACGACCTCTGGGTTTAGCGACCACCTGCTCTTAACGACCTATGGGTTTAGCGACCACCTGTTCTTAACGACCTCTGGGTTTAGCGACCACCTGCTCTTAACGACCTCTGGGCTTAGCGACCACCTGCTCTTAACGACCTCTGGCTCTGGGTTTAGCGACCACCTGCTCTTAACGACCTCTGGGTTTAGCGACCACCTGCTGTTAGCGACCTCTGGGTTTAGCAACCACCTGCTCTTAATGACCTCTGGGTTTAGCGACCACCTGCTCTTAACGACCTCTGGGTTTAGCGAACTCCTGCTCTTAACGACCTCTGGGTTTAGCGACCACCTGCTCTTAACGACCTCTGGGTTTAGCGACCACCTGCTCTTAACGACCTCTGGGTTTAGCGACCACCTGCTCTTAACGACCTCTGGGCTTAGCGACCACCTGCTCTTAACGACCTCTGGCTCTGGGTTTAGCGACCACCTGCTCTTAACGACCTCTGGGTTTAGCAACCACCTGCTCTTAACGACCTCTGGGTTTAGCGACCACCTGCTCTTAACGACCTCTGGGTTTAGCGAACTCCTGCTCTTAACGACCTCTGGGTTTAGCGACCACCTGCTCTTAACGACCTCTGGGTTTAGCAACCACCTGCTCTTAACGACCTCTGGGTTTAGCGACCACCTGCTCTTAACGACCGTTTTTCCATGCACCGACAGTTCCACACAGACACTCTGGGACCTGGTTCTAAAGACCACCTGGCTTTAACGGCCGCTTTTGCTTGCACCGTGGGGTGGTCGCTTAAACCAGGTGTTACTCTACTTACAAGAAGATGTTTATTATTTATTTATTTATTATTATCAAATTTTTGATAGGGCAATCATATGTAGGTAAGTAACTATACGCTCAAGTTAGCACTGAGCTGGTCACAGAGCAGGGAGTACTACCCGGAATGATCCCAAAACCAAAAACAAAACAAAAAGGGAGTTGAATGATGTTAGGTTGGTACGTACATGTACATGTAGATGTTTTCAAGATGACAGCATGGCTTGAAAGTGCCATGTCACAGCATAATTAGCAACAATTTCAAAAATTCAAAAACTGGATCCAGATGGTGAAAAATGAGAAGGTCAAAATGTTACGAGTTATGACTAACTGTCCACCAACGTAACCGTCCCCCCCCCCCC